CGCTCAAATGCAGGGCTCGCTGCTAGTAATTACATATCTGAGCTTAATTTGTTCTTTTTCACTTTTTAAATCGCTTGATACCTCAACTTTTCATCGACCAAAAATAAAAATCGATCTCTTTGAGTAATTTTTTGCTGCTGTAGTTGTTGTTGTCGCTGTTGTTGTTGTGGTTGCTGTTGCGCTCGGCAATCAGGAAACAAGGCTTAATGCCCCACTGTAGTTTGACATTATTAAAATGTACATTATATGCGGGTCAGTCGGGTACGAGCTATATGTACTGGCTATACGATATTCCCTGCTGGAAAATGGCTTTAGTAAGCCATGCATGCGTCTATGATGCATATTTACAACATTTTAACCTTGAGATTTATATGTATTACATATATGCATATACTCACTCACATGTGTGTAAAAGGTAAAAATAACTGACAGATATTTGCACACAATATACATGGCTCATAATACTCTACACACACACAGACACACACACACACACAGACATACACACTCCATGAAAATGCAGTAAAAACGCGTTGGCTTCGCCGGGTAAACAAAAACATTGAACGTAACCCGCTCAGTTGGTTAAGGTGGGTTGTGGTTGCAGCTGTTTTGGCATGTTTGAAAATTCCTGGAAACAAATGTAATAAAAACTACTCGTAATACACACACACCCACACACACACACACACACACACACACACACACACACACCCACGCACATACCGAAAGTGCTCGAGTTTTTATTAGCTGCGAGCCTGAAAAGCTTTTTTTCATCACATTTTTCCCCAGTTTTTTTTTTGGCCATGTTTTGTTTTTGCGTGCTGCACTGCACTTAAAGCGTTCCTAATGAATGAATTTTGGTTTTATTTCGCATTTGTTGCTTGTTTTAATTTGATTTTTTAGCACTAGACTAGGGATATATTTCAAATTTATGCGCCCGCGTTGGCATTTTGATGGACTGCGCGGGCAAATCAAGCCAGCTGCCATCCGTTTTGTAAGTAGTTCAAAATAACTAAGTATTTTTGGCTGGTATGAAACGCAAATACATTGCAAACAAAATAAAAAAGAAAAAACACACATGTTTCGCTTAACTCTTTAAAGTTTATTTCTTGTTGTTTATTTTATAAATATTCCTGTCGATTTGCCATTTACATGTGTTGCTTAAATTTACATATACATTGGAGTAGCTTTACCATATATAGATATTTAAATATATGTATATATATTTGCTCAACTCAATTTATTTGCTTTTTATATAACAGTTTTTTTTTTCTCATTTCTTTGCTTTGTAATAAATACATATTTTTATATATATTTATTAATTGGTTAAATTTTAATTCATTTAAGCTGTGCTACAATTTTTCGTTTAAAGAGATTTTCGCTTGTGATTTTTTTTATACTACGTATTTTACAATATCAACTGAGTTATTTGTTTATTAAAGACTGTATTTATAATTGAAATATTTAATTGTTTGCCGAACAAATAACTAGCGCGTTATATATTTATATATGCTTTTTTTTTTAACTATAAATGATATGTATGCGGTATATTTGCTTTTGTTATTCTTCATTTCTTTATTTTTGTAATTTTAATTTTTTAAATGGAACGGATGTTGAGCCGGGAAGCTGAAGAGAAGAACTAAATGCAATTAACCAAATATTGACTGTCCCAACGGGCTGTAGTACTAAGTAGATATATTATATAATATATATATAGAGAGTTTCTTTTTTTCCAAGATATTTCACAGCGTGTGCCATGACAACTTGTTGCTATTTTAGCTTGATTATTTGTATTTGTATTGAATTGCATGTGATATTCTGCTCAGCCCGCTCCGAGGGTTGCCCTAGAGGTTAGTTGATTTGAATACTTTGGGTTTTGCATTCAGTTTAGCCGCATTTTAATGTTACTTTGCACACATACAGTCTCTTTATGAATTTACAATACAAACGAACTCTTAACTCGACAATCGCTTTTGCTGTACGTTTATGTACATGTGCCATATTCTATATTAAGTTTATATATTATGTATAGATTATTTATTTCGTGTATATTACATTCTGCTCAGTTTAGGCTAAACTTAAGCTAAGATTCAACAGCTTAAACATGCACGCGTATGGGGAGTTAGGAAGCCTGGTTGACTTAATATATATATATGTTTATATTAGCTACAACTCTTATATGTATATTTTTTTATTGATATATGTGTATATCAACTTTAACTTTAACCAAGCCACGCGCCATAAATCAGGGCATCAGCTTTTGGCCAATTGACAAACTCAATCAAGCCAAGCATCGCATCATCGCAGCTCCAAATCCAGTTCCAGCTTCAGCTTCAGCTCCGGCTCATCCTGCTTCGACTGCTGCTGCTGCTGCCTAATCTCTGTTAGCGATTCGCGTCGGTGTCAAACATGTGTCAGTGTTTGTGGCAACAATGCCAGTTGAGTTTTTCGCAGTTGCCTCGTCAATGTCAGCGCTTGCCGCCACATCAAGCGCAGCAGCAAGAGCAGCGCGGGGCACAGCCAGCTCAGCGTCCGTCCAGTGTGTCTGGGGTGTTGGGACACAGCTGCCGATGCTCCATACATGTTGTCAATACCCTCGGCACTGAGACTCAAATCGGCTGGCAATTGAAGGCGTGAGCGGGGCGGGGCGGGGCGGTGCGGTTCATGTGAAAGAGTGGAGAAACGTTAATGGCCCTGCCGGGTTAACAGCGGAAATTGGCTAAGCTTGTCGAGTGATGTTCCGTGGGTGGCTGGCTGCGTTCAAGTGATTAGCTGGGCGGTGATTTTGTGATTTCATGACTACGTCAACTGACATATGCCAACACTTTGCTGCCTTGATGTACATTCATTCATCAGACAATCAGACAGACTTGACAAACCCAAAAATTGGCCTTCGGCTTGCAGCGAACATCTCCAGGCCGCACCTTAACGTAAAATGAATTCACATTTAATTTAGCTTCTCAACTTTCGCCATTCAACATTCAACTTGGCTCAATTAGGCTATAAAAATAGCGAAATAGAAATGTAGACTGACGACGTGCAGGGGGGGCAGAAGTAGAGCAAAGACTTGAAGCACTTAAGCCACATTTAACTGCCTTCAGTTGGCCCACAATAGAATTTATTTGATTGTGGCCAAGTATTTACAAATCATTAAATTGCCCCAAAGCCAAGCCGAGCGTGTTTATTGATATACAATTATGCAGGGCAAAAGTTTTACCTGTGCAGCATTTTCTCTCCCGCTCTCTCTCTCTTCCACTTATTTGCACAACCTTTTCCCACTGCCTTAAATTTGGTGGTTTGATTTCGATATTTTTTTTTTATTGCTGGTCGTGCGGCTTGCAAATTAGTGTGAAAATCTGTTAAACAGCTCACAATGTCCCTGAGTTACTTTTTTTTATGGCATTTTGTGCCGTCTCAAGTGGCCTGTTAAGCCGCAGCTGGCTGGGGCAAGGGCAAAGGCAGGGCAGGGCAGGGCAGGGGCCTGTGGATTGTTTGCCAGTGTGGGCGTGGCCAGTGGAGCATAAATGCTTGAAATATGGCCCGTAACCCTAATCGGTGCGATGCACACACACACACACACACATACGGACAGAGACAGCCACAACCACAGCCACAGCCACAGTCGCACCCACACCCAGGGAAGCCCATGAGATGAGCACATTGACTTGGCTTACCTTTTCGCTTACCGGGATTCTCAGAGTCCTCGCCGCTGTGCTCCTGCGCCCTGGACGAATGATACATTTCGGAGCTTTTCGTGCGCTTTTTTCCTAGTTTTTTTTTATTAGTGTGGGTGAAGTGAATTATTGGAATTGCGTTTTAGTTCATTTTTATGACGGCTTTCAAAAGTATCTGTACTTAATGCATATTTATAAAAAAAAAAAAACTTGTAGACTCGCGGCAAAGTTTGTTGCTTTTCCATTCCCAATTTCGATTTGCATTTCTTGCTGGCCCCACCCAAAAAAAAAAAAAAAAATCCAGTTACAGTCTCTCTTTGCCTGCTTCTGTGGCGTTGACGATTTGAAACGGATTTGCATGCCAAATGAATTATTTATGCTTTTCTGCTTCCAGCTACCAGGTTTGTTTCTATTTTCCTTTCTCTACCTCTGTGTGTGTGTGTGTGTGTGTCTGTGTCTGTGTGTGTGATTCCAGCCATGCAAAGTGAAATATTTGCCGCTCATCTTAAATTTATGCCGAGTGGCTATTAAATCTCGCTTTTCTCGCGCCATCTTTCACCCTTGAACTCAGCTATGCTTTGGCTTCTACAAGACCACGAGGTCTGCGCTTGTGTTGAGATCTGGCTTGGTTGGAATCGTTG